GGCTGGGCTGTCTTACACTCCCATTTTAGAGTTTGTCTCCACTCCCATTTGTCCATCTGTCTGTAGTAACACACGACCCAGTGCTCTGTCGATTTTTCCGTGCACTGATCCCATTACCCATTCATATTCTCTCACTAAAAGAGGCTTGCTCAAAGAATGCTGCTGGGCAAATGGTATGACAGTCTTAGTAATTTGAAAACTTCCTGCAGAATGCGTTTTCCATTATTGACAATGGTGTTCCGGGAGAATATATGGCTCTGGCAAGAGTGTGGTCAATGCTTTCCTGCTCTTCAGGTGTCACCTGTGTACTAATGAAGCCATTGAGAGTGCTTTGTATGCAGCAGCTTGCACCTTTGTTGGCTTAGGCGTCCTGAGTGGCACCTCTTCATGGTGATACTGATGTTCCAGATTCTGGAGCAGCAGCAGCAGCACAGCTGTATGATGAGCATCAGGAAGCTTGCATGTTTTCCTCATCATGGTTTCTTCTCTCCCATTCTAAAATGTCTGATAACCACCAAGCTAGCTGCATCTATGAGTTGTTTTTTGTTTGTTCACTTGTTTCTTCTTTTGTTTTATACCCTACATATGAGTGAAGTCATACAATTTTTTCCCTTTTTTGCCTGACTTATTTTACATAGCATAATACCCTCAAGGTCCAGCCATGTTGTCACAAATGGCAATATTTCATCTTTTTGTGTGGCTGAATAGTATTCCATTGTATATACACCGCATTTTCTTTATCCCTTCATCAGTCAATGAACACTTGGGTTGTTTCGTATCTTATAAATAATGCTGTAATGAACGTGGAAGTGAATATATATATTTTTGAATAGGTGTTTCTGTGTTCTTCAGATAAAGATATTGAATGATAATATTGTATACCTGAAACTTAGATAATGTTATAAATCAATGTTACTTAAATTTTTTTTAAGTTTATTTTGAGAGAAAAAAATAGAGTAACAAAAAACAAAAAAAAAAAAGTCTTGCTCTAGCCGATTTAGCTCAGTGGATAGAGCATCAGCCTGTGGACCAAAGGGTCCTGGGTTCGATTTCAGTCAAGGGCTCCTCCCCGACCTGGACTCTAGTTGGTGCTCATGCAGGAGGCCACCAATCAATGTGTTTCTCTCACATTGATGTTTCTCTCTGTCTTTCCCTCTCTTCCACTCTCCCTAAAAATCAATGGAAAAAATATCCTTAGGTGAGAATTAACAATAACAACAACAACAAAAAAGTCTGAATAGCATCTTACAGATTCTGTGTTTAAAGTGGAATTCAGAAATGTGTCTTTCAGTCAACAATTCTGTGGATGACCTTCAGCAGGCCAAAGTTTCCATATGTTGAAAGTTGGCAAAAGAAAAAGCCAGTAGGAATAAAAGTTGGAAAGAAGAAAAAAAAAACCCAGTGGAAATAAATAAAAGACCCTGGAGGTATACCTCCAGGTTAGCTGGAAACACCTTTCCAGTCATCCAGCATCGGAAGCTACGGACGGGATTGTGTGACAAAAACATATTACAAGGAATTCATGTGTGACAGGTTGTGGAAACCATGCAGCTGAAAATCAGAATTCAGATGCATTTAAATTCTTGTTTATTAAGAAAGAAGCATACTTCTTTTCCTAGCTGCTTTGTATCCATTAAGCTCACAAGATGAAGAGGAATTGGGTTTCTAAATCTTTTACATTCTCTTTAACTCTCCTCTGTCTTGGTCCTTTTTTCTCTCTTTCTTTATTAATATGTTTTTATTGATTTCAGAGAGGAAAAGAGAGGGAGAGATAGAAACATCAATGATGAGATAGAATCATTGATCAGCTGTCTCCTGCACACCCCTTACTGAGGATTGAGCCCATGACCCAGGCATATGTCCTTGACCAGAATTGAACCTGGTACCTTTCAGTCCATAGGCCAATGCTCTACCCACTAAGCAAAACCAGCTAGGGGTGTCTTGGTCTTTTTTTTGAACCAATAAACATTATATTATCAATCTCTCTATGAATTAATAGATATGGCTGTCATTGTCCACTTCAGGTCCACTTCTCTGAGAGGTGGTCAGAAGGAGTAAACCATTTATTGACAATAGAAGTCAATGAAAGAAAACCCACAACAATGAAAACAGATTCTTTCTGCTATCTCTCTGGGAGTCTAAAGCAATCTCTTGTTTAATAGTTACACGCTGTTGTTTATTCTTGAGTTTTACAATGCAAGATATTGGCTCTAATAGATAGGCTAGAGAAAAATGATTCTATTGCATGAGAAAGCTGAGTCACAACATATGAGTCCCTTACTGTTCATCTTCCGTCAACCTATAAACATTCATAATCCACTGTTCAAACTCTTTTTAGAGAAAAGGCAGATTCAAACATTTACATTTGTCCAAGCCTTTACCTCTTCAAAGGAGACCAACAAATAGGAAACAATAAAAAAACAATATCACCCCCCTCTATTGTTTTTGTTGGCTATAAATGCATAGAAAGATGGAAAATTAATCAACAAGTATTTATTGAGCATCCACCATTTCTCAACTGTGCGAGAAAGCGCAGAAGACAGGACCCTCCGTTTGATTATGATCTGCTTGAAGAAGCAACCCATGATACGAAACAACAGGCTGGTGTAGTGTGAAACATGACATACTCATCCGTGGAGCACAGACGCTACAGAAGTTTAGGAGAGAGAAATTCTGGTGGGTAGAATAGTAGGGGTTTGAGCTGGGAAGGAGAAGGAAACTATGAGTACGAAGATGAAAACCTTATGGCAAAAGCACAGAGGTTTCACAACAACCTGCCAGTGAAAACGGTCACACTAAACCAGGAGGGGTGCAGATCCGAGTTGAGAAAGCTGGATGGAGAGGAGTGCCTGGGAGGCTGAGAAAGCCTGGCAGAATTTAGATTCAAACTGTAGTCCACACTGAATCAATGATGGTTTTTACAAGGGAAGTGATGAGAGCAGTGTTTTATGAGGACAAGCTAAGCATCCACACCTGAGAGAGAAGAATGAAGAGACGGGGAACATAAGCAAGAAAAATGTTGTGGCAAACCAAGGGCAGGTCTCAGGAGCTGAGCTATGGAGCTGGTGGAGGAAATGGAGAAGGGACAGATGTGACAGACATGGCTAAGAGGAGCTGAGCACACTTGGTGACTGACTTCATATAGCGGGAGAGGGAAAAGGCCATGTCAAGAAAGACTCCAATATGTTTGGTCTCGTGGTCTTCAAGTAGAGTGTTAATAGAACTGATAGTGGAGACAGTGAATCCGCTTTTATTCCTGTCAAGTGTGAGGTTACAGTAGGACAGCTAATGAAAATGTTCAGCAGGAAGCTAGAAATACAGAAATCTGAACTATATCTTTGTAGTCTGAGGGAAGGAAAGGTGAACTCAGATATGTTAAGGTGGGGATGAGGCAACTCACGGGTCTCAATTTCAAGGCGAGAATGGCAAAGAGAGAGAGAAAGATGAGAGAGGGAGGGAGGGGGGTGGAAAGATGAGAGAGAGAGAGAGAGAGAGAGAGAGAGAGAGAGAGAGAGAGAGAGAGAGAACGAACCATTAGAATGAGGATCAGTGAAAGTGACTGGGCCAGATGTGCATAGTTCCACCACTTCCTCCAGCCACATCTTGCCTTCCCAGCATCGGACAGAGGCACTGGAGTGGGAGAGTGGCACCGGATGAAAAGGAGAATAAAGGGAGTTTGGAGAGGATGAGTGGGACCCAGGAGACCATAAAGTAGTGGCTAGGGCATGAAAGTGTGGGAGAAGAAAGAGGGCAATTTTTGTTGTTGTTAATCCTCACCTGAGGATATCTTTTCCTTTGGTTTTATAGAGAGAGTTGGAAGGGTGAGAGACAGAGAGAAAAAACATCAACGCAAAAGAGACACATCAATTGGTTGCTTCCTGGACGTGCCCTGATAGGGGCCAGAGATTGAGCCTAAAGCCAAGGTGCTTGCCCTTGGCCATAATCAGACCCTTCAGTGACCCTTCAGACGTGGGCTGATACTCTCACCACTGAGCCAAACCGGCCTGGGCATGAGGGCAAATTATTATGATTGGCAATTGGAGCATACTAAAATGCAAAGGGAGGTGGTGGTCTCTTCATGGTGGTAAAAGGGACAGGCAGGGAGGGAGGCCACTCAGGTGCTGGTATGTTGAAGAGGAGATGTCTGTGGACCATGAGTATTTTTCTAATGTTGACTTGATTTGCCTTCCCATTAAGGAAAGCCCTGCCTCCCACTCTCCGGGCCCTAGCTAATACAGGACTCTCAGGACAGATGCCCAGCAGTTGGCGGAGGAGATGGGGTGGGTGGTGGAGCAGATTTTGGAACTTGATCTGATCCACTTGCACTGTTGGCTCAAAAGCTTCTGATTCACTTCAGAGATGGTTTTCTGTCATTTAAATGCCATAAACACTAACAGCAAAATAGCTCACGGGCTGGCCCCTGCTCTCCACACCTGCCAGGCCCAGCACCTGCAGCAGCTCCTGGAGAGGAAGAGAAAAAGACCCATTATACCGGGTGGGTGGTGGGGGGTATCGCCCACACCTGGAGGGAAGATGGGGTGTTAGCGAAGAGAGAGATGAGCAAGATCATAGAGGTCCGTTTGGTTACCCGAGAGACCACAGCTGAAGACCTTGCTGGGAAGGAAGAGTAAAGCCATGTCATCCTCCCTCCCTTCTCCATCTGGGTTTGGGCTACAAAGAGACACGAGCAAAGGCAAACACACATACATGCACACACACACACACATACACACGTACACATGCATACATGCATACACGCACACGCACAGAGAAAGAGCTACACAGAGTGGAGGTGCACACACAGCTGAGCATAGGACAGACATTTAGGTAACAAGCTTATCCACGTGTAAAGTCACACCGGATCTGCTCATCACACGCATCTCTGTGTCCACACACAGTTCTGTCTTCCCCACGGGCTCTCCTCCCGGGCGCCCTGTGTGACAGAGGCAGGCCCCTCTCCGCCAGGCCTCACGTCTTCCTTCCTCTTTGTGTTTTTCCAGGTCGTGACATGGCGAGCACCACTCTGCCTGGTTACCCCCCTCACGTGCCCCCCACTGGCCAGGGAAGCTATCCTACCTCCACCCTGGCAGGAATGGTGCCTGGTAGGTGACAATGCTGCAGCTGCCTAATCCATGGGGGGGGGGGGGGGAACTAAATTGTGGGGGGGCTGCTGAGTGGTCTTTAGTCCAAGGCTGGGGTGGGAAGAGATCCAACATCCCCTCCCCGCAAACCGCTGCTATTCCGCCCCTCTCTCCCCCCAGAGCTGCAGTGGGTCCCTCGTCTCCTTCCTCAGCAGCCTAGGGAAGGAGCCTGCAGAAGGGCCCCTTGTGTGCACCCCAGTGTACGTCATGGCCCCTTCCCAGGGCCCACCCACCCAAGCCTGAGCCCAGGGAGCACTCAGCCTCCGCTCCACCCTCAGTGCCCCAGCCCACCCCCAGCCAGCTGACACTGCTTGGAAGAGCCTGCCCTGGTTTCCATGGAAACTTGGATCCAAGAACCATTTCCAGAGACATGTCAGTCACTCAGACAAAGCCACCCTGGTCCACACCAACCCACAGGGAAGACCAGGGTTAAGGACCTACCCCACCCTAGAGAGGAGAGGAAACCGACACACACACCCCCATTGAAAGAGGAGCAGGGGACAGGCCATGGCAGGAACCAGAGAGGCTAGCCCCTGAGAAATAAGCTGAAGCGCCCCCAGTGTCCTCAGAGGAGCCAGGCTCTCTGCTCCCCAGCACAGACATCCCCTGGCTGAGCCCGGCTGGGTCAGGGTGTGACTGAGAGGCCGAGGCCGCTTTTAGGCTCCGGTATTGGGCTCTTCCCAAGCCCTCACCTCCGGTTGGGAGCCAGACCTGACGCCAAACAGGGTTGAAGCACCTATTTGCATAAACACCAGAAAACTCCTTTAATGAGGGTGAGACTCCCTGGGGCTGCCTTCTTCGGTACCCCTTCCCTGAAGCTCAGCTCTTGTGGGAGGGGGGGGGGTAAAAAAAAAGGGGGGACTGGCCCCCTTCCTGGGCTGTCCACCCAGGGTCAGCCTGGAAAGCAGAGTGGGGGGAGGGGCCTGGCTCAGAGGGCCTTGCTGTAGAGTGTGGTAGGTTGGGGGGCTGAAGAGACTTAGGGGAGCTGGGTTGGACGAGCTGAGGGGTGTGGGTGGGGAGAGTCGCACCCAGATGTGGCATGGGGGGAGTAGAAGGGTTGAGAGCAAGGAGACTCTTCCAGGAAGGTCCCGGCCTGAGCTGGTGGTGGAGGCTGGAGGAGGTCTGGGAGAGGGGGGGGGAGGGAGGGGGGAGTCTGTAAGGAGGTGGGGATGAGGGGAGCGCAGAGCCCGTGGTGGCAAGGGGGGAGTCGTTAAACAGAATCTAGTGCTGATGAGGAAATTACACTTGTTTCATTAGCGATGGGGAAGGAGATAGCTCAGTTCCTCTTGGTCACAGTTGAGCTCAGAAGCTCATTATCCTGCTGCACGCATGCTTTCCCTCCTCGTCAATAAACAGGCTTTCCAGTGGCTGCGTCCCCCACCCCCACCCCAGCTCCCTCTCCGAGAGGGGCCCCTTCTCCTCTACTTAACCCGCGGTTAGGGATCACTGTAAACAGTCTGGGGTCATCACACAGGAGAAAGGGCGAGGGGGAAACCCGGGGATCCGGCCTTTCTCCCGTGGAGGGAGCGAAGCGGCTTTGGACGGGCTGGGAGCCCGCGGGGGCCTCCGCTCAGCGCTCCGGCTGGGCAGCCGGTCCGCCTGCCGCCCGCCACCTCCTCCCCCCCTCTTCCCCCGGCTGCGGCTGCGCGCCCCCAAGTCCGGTCCCTCAGAGGAAAAGTAGGGGGGGGGGGGGTGTCCCAGTAGAGCCCAAACCCTTTGCTTTGGCGCAGGGCTAAGATGCCATTTTTAGGACTTTCTGGGACAAGGTGTCCCCAGGGCCTTCCTTCGCCACCCCCTTCCCGCTTCCACCCCGTGGGGCGATGGCTCCCTGAACCAGAGTCTGAGCTGAAAAGACCCCGTCCTCCGGCCCAGCGGGGGAGGCGTGCCGCACCCAGAACAAACCCTTGGGGGGGGGGGGGGCAGGGGTGCCCCCGCAGGTCTCTCCATCCCGTGTGCAAGGGCCGTGGGTGCTTCTGCACACACACACACCCAATGCACACGCGCCCGGGGCTCCCCCCACGCGGACTCCGTGCATCGCTCCGCCCTCGCCGGGCCCCCAGCCCGCAGCCTCGGGTCCGCCTCGGGGTGGCGCGTGTCTGATGCCCACTCCCCCGCCCCCCGCAGGGAGCGAGTTCTCCGGCAACCCGTACAGCCACCCCCAGTACACGGCCTACAACGAGGCTTGGAGATTCAGCAACCCCGCCTTACTAAGTGAGTACCCGCCCGCGGCCCGGCGGCCCCGTCCGCCCGTGCCCCTCGGCCCCGCTCCCCGACGCGCCGGCTCCCCGCCCGCAGCCCCCGGACCCGCAGCCCCCGGACCCGCGCCCGGCTCCCCGCCCGCAGCCCCCGGACCCGCAGCCCCCGGACCCGCGCCCGGCTCCCCGCCCGCAGCCCCCGGACCCGCAGCCCCCGGACCGCAGGCGCCGGCGGGGGGGGGGGGGGCTAGTGCAGCGCGGAGTCCGGCGTCCAGCGGACCCCCCCTCCCTTCCCCTCCTCTCCCTCCCTGGTAGCTGAAAGGGCCCGGCTGCCCCGCCGTCAGCACCCCCCCCCCAAGGTCGGCATTGGAGCGGCGTGGTCGCCGATGGTGTCTCCCCCCCTCCCCCCCCCGGGAGTGCAGCCCTCCTAGGCCCTCGGCCCAGCCAGGGTCTTCCTGCCCGGACCCCTCCAGCCCCGAGCCCCGGGAGGTCTTTGCTTTGCTGTCCTCTTTTTGTTCTCCTGTTTGTCCTCTCACCCAGCCCATTCTTCTCCTGTGTTAACTTCCAGGTTCCCCTTATTATTATAGTGCCGCCCCCCGGGGCTCCGCCCCTGCCGCTGCTGCCGCTGCCTATGACCGCCACTAGTCACCGCGGGGACCACATCAAGCTGCAGGCCGACAGCTTCGGCCTCCACATCGTCCCCGTCTGAGCGCCCGCCGGGCCGCCGCCCCGCCCTCCCCGCCCGGGCGCCCGCAGCCCTCCGCCGCCCGGGCCCCGGTCCGAGGCCGGGCTGGACTCGGGGAGCCCCGGGCGGGCGAGACCCTCGGGCCCGGCTGGGCCCAGCGACCCCGCCCCTGTCCGCCGGCCTGGACTTGGAAGGGCATCAAGAAGGCTCCCCCCGCTCGTCCCGGCCTCGCCCGAGCTGCACCCGAGCCGACCGAGCCGACCGGCGGCCACCACGCGGGCCTGGGGCCGGGCCGCCCGGGCCTGGGCGCGGGGACACGATCTGTGACACACAATCAGCGCGGGTGGAGCAGCCCGACCCCAGGCGGCCTCGCCGGAGGGACTGGGCCGAGGAATTGAGAACAAACTGGTTTTCTGCAGAAGGAGGAAGAGCTACAGCCTGACCCTGGGGGCGGGGGGAGCCCTATCCCCGCCAGCCGGACCGCCCCCACCTTCCGAGGGTGCCCGCCCCAAAGGTGGAGCGGAGTGGGGGCTGGGCTCTAGCGGAAAAGGTGGGGGTCGTCAGGTCTTTGCAAGGTGGGGACCCTGGGTACGCGGGCCCCAGCAGCCCGCACCACGGAGCCAGACTCTGGGCTCCCTCTCCCCTCCCCCCAGCTCCACCGGAGCCCGCTCCCCGGGGCCCTGGCACCTCCTACTGGTGAGGAGACTCTCAGCCCCTCCGAGCCCCTACCTCACGTCAGTGACCTCCCTGTCTCCCCTCCTGCCCGCCCTCTCCCATCCCCCGGGGCTCTGCATCGCGGCTCCCGGTCTTCCCCACCCCATCGGAGGCTCTCCGGCGCCGGAGGACCAGTTTGCACGGGCCTTGGGCACTGTCCCTGCCCCGACACAGGCTCAGGGTCCGAGCTGACGTCTGAGCTGCGGGGGTTGGCGGGGTGGAGGTGGAGATGGGGGGCTGTCCACCCCCAGCTCCTCCTCCTCCGGCAGGAACGGAACAGAACCGCGAAAAGTCTGCATTTATTTAATACGATGATCTTTGCAAAAAGGAAAAAGAAAAAAAAAACAAACCAACAGGCTGCTGCTCTGTAGAAAGACGATGTGTGTCGTGTGAAGGCGAACCCCACTGTACATAGCCCCGCCCCGCCCGCCCGCCCGCCCGGTAGTCCCGCGCCGCCCGCCTGTAGATACGCCCGCTCTGCGCTGTGAGAGTCGCCGCTCGCTGGGGGGTGGGGGGAGGGGGGACACAGCTACACGCCCACTGAAGCACAGCACGTCCTGGGGGAGGGGGGTGCATTTTTTTTATGTTACAAAAAAAATTACGAAAGAAATCTCTATGCAAAACGACGAACTTGGTCCTGTGGACGCCTCTCGCCTCTGTTGTCCGCTGTTTCTCTGTCATTCCATGTTTCCCTTCGCTCATCTCTCCCCTCACGCCATCCCTTTCTCCGCTGTCCGTTCCTCTCCGCCGGTGTCTCTGTCTCCGTCCGTCCGGTCCCCGTCACCCCCACCCCCACCCCCACCCCCACCCCCGGGCCTCTCTCCGCAGCCCGGCCCGGCCGCCTGGCCCTCGCAGGCGAACTCCCTCCGCGGCGGCGGCCCCGCGCCCCGGCTCGTCCCCTCGAGACTGCGCCCCGCGCGGGGGCCGCCCGCCCCGTAGTTGCTCTCCCGGTCGCGGCGATGCGCCCTGCATGCCTCCTCACCCGTGGATCGCGACGACGACTCGAAATAACAGAAACAAAGTCAATAAAAATGAAAATAAATAAATAAAAAATAAATAAAAATTCTTAAACAAATGCGAAAGGCTTGGAGTCCTCGCCCAGATCTCTCTCCCCTTCGAGCCTTTTTATTTAAAAAAAAATAAAGGAAAATGAGAAAAGAGAACAGTTTAAAGGGAACAACCGGCGCCAAGCCAGGCTCCTGTGGCTTAAGCGGGGCGGCGAAGGCTCTGAGGTTGGAGGTTTGAACTCCGAAGCTCCACCCATTCCAGTCCTGAGGGGCGGGAGGGGGGGCTGGCACTAGCCTAGACCCAGCCGAACCCTCGAACCCTCCAGAGGGAGCCCCCCATAGCTCTGGTCTTCCGGGCCACTTGAAGCGCGACGGTTCGTTTTGATTCTTTCCTTTTTCTTTCTTTCTTTTTTTTTTATTGTGCACATGAGAAATAAATAATAAATAATAATAAATAAATAAGTGAATAAATAATAATAAAATTTTGTATGTCACTCCCCATGGCTCCAGGCTTGTCTCTCCCTGTCTGTCTCTGGGACAGGCCTCCCCTCTCACTGGTGGACCCCCAAGAACCCCTTCAGTGCTCCTCCCAAAGATACCCCCACCGCCACCCCGTTACCAAGACACTCGTGGAGGCAGCTGAAAGCAGGCGAAGGCCCAGACCAGGGGGCCCTTCCGTGGCCACCCGCCCTTGGGACAAGGAGCTTTCCAAAACTTCAGAATAACTTGGAATTACACATCTATCCCAGGCCGATGGTCGCCCTGCCTCTCCACCAGCCCCCAGATTTAGGGTTCAGAGGCCCTCTGCAGTGGAGGGTGGGGATTGTTTGCTGTCCTGCCTCCTTTCTCCAGTCCTCCGCGCAGCCGCAATTTTATCCCGCAAGTCTGCACTGAGACCTGGGACCGCAGATGCCGTTACAAGTTTGCTTGCTCCGTGGAAGGAGACTCGGGTGGCACTGCCAGCTCACGGGACCTCTCACGGGACCTCGCGCGACCCTGTGTCTTTCTGCGCCCCAGTCCCTCGCTATCAGCAATTAGGACTGGGGTGGTCTGATTGTGTCCCCAGAGGAGTCTGTGGGTCAGTGGGCTTCCATTTCTGTTGGACCGAGTGGGTCCAGATGTTCCTAGGTGGGCCTGGTGAGGTAAAGAGGGAGAACTGCTTGCTTTTTCTGGACATTCTTACTGCTCTTGTGCGAAAGGGTGAGGGTGGGGTAGGTTGGGGGCAGGGAAACGGGGAGGGGCCAAGGGCAGATGTGGGGAAGCAGTGAAGGATCTGTCTGTCCTGTGTCTCTGTTCCCGTTTGGGTGAAGGATGGGATGATTGTCCAGGATTGCCTGGGCAGTATCTGAGATACTTGGAAGGGTCTTGATCCTTTCAACAACCCCTCAACTCCCGCTCTCCCATAAAGGCTGCAACCTTCACCTGACCTCGCCCTTGGAGAGTTTTCGTTCTCTGCCCCTGGGATGCTTTCCCAGCTCAGCTCTTAGCTGGGCCTCCTCCGTCATGGAAGGTGCTTGATACTCTGAGCTGCCAGGACATCCTCTTGGCTGGGAGCAGTGTGTCTCAGACACCTCCTTCCTCCAGGACCCCAGAGGCCTTTGTTCCCCCAAGCCTATTTGCCTAGCTTCACCCCCTGTGACAGTCAGGAAGATATGCAGGATCCCCAACAAATCAACAAGCCCCAAAGTAAATCTATCCCTTCTTCCTCCCTCTCTCCTTGTGACCCCTCCCAATTCCCCACCTCAGCAAAAGACAATCCCACCTTCTGACCTTGCTTGGTACTGCCCCTCTTGACTGTCATTTTCCTGGAAGGGTGATCTTCAAAATTACTTTAAATCATGATTTACTGATGTAAATCATACATCAGTAAAAAGAATTCTTAACTTGTACCTCCAATCCTATATAATAAAAGGCTAATATGCAAATCAACTGAGGGTGGAATGACTGGTCCCTCAATGCAGAAGCTGCCCCCTGGTGGTCAGTGTGGCAGGAGCCTATCCACCTTCGAGGCAGTTGGACATTCCCTCAAGGGGTCCCAGACTGTGAGAGGGCACAGGCCCCCCTCCAGTCCCCAATGTCATGCACTGGGCCTCTAGTACAATATATTTATTTAAATATTTACTTATTTATAAATTCCACAAATGTTCAACTGGACTAACATATTATGAATTTTATAGGACATAAAATAGTAAAATGATGAGATTGGAATACATAGATGTAGAAGCTCTAATGCACTGGTCACCAAACCTTTCGGACCTCATAGACCACTGGTTGGTGACTGTTGCTCTAGTGTTCTCTATGATAAATGGATTATCTTGTATCCCCTGGGAGACGTTCACCCCACTTTTGAGATCCTGCTCAGAACCCATCAAAACCCAGCATGGCAGAACTACCGACTACTGCCTTATGTCTGGCAGGTAAGTTCCTGGAAGCTGTCAAGGCACTGGTTTGGCCCAATCAATGCTGCCCTCATCATATGTAGCAGGCTACCTGGCCCACAGCCCCTGGCTTTGCTTCCAGGTGTTCCCAGACTGGGAGCACTGCTTTGCCTAACACATCAAATTGGGAGTCAGGGCCTCTTACCTGGTTCCCACCAGAACTCCTTACCTTCTGTTCTATGTCTGGTCTCCTCATACCAAATTGGACAGTGAGAGTCCCACTTGTTGAGAGAGATCACCTCTATACAGAGCTTTCATGCTGTTTCTCCTGGAGTGTTGGTTTCTGCTTGGAATCAGCCCGATGATCCCTGAAACATGTTCTATAGTCCTTGAGCGGTTGCCTGTTCTAACATCAGCCCCATATTCATGTCCCAAACACAAATAGGGCCTGTTCTCCATACTGACCCAATTCTGCTAGACCTATCCCCAGCCCACCCCCAGAGTTGAGCTACACCAAGCATGACAGTTATAAACAGATTAAGAAAGGTGTCCTGGGTTGAGGCAACAAGACATGGAAGCATGGAAATATACCAGATAGAATGTGGCTGAAGCATCAGGTGGCAGGAGACAAAGCTTTAAAATAGTTGAGAACCAGGACACCATGCTAGAAAGAAAGCTGTCCCACTCAACCCTCTCCTGCTATATCTGTGCCAATGACTGACTCCAAGCTGATCCAATGATTCCCTCTCTCTCAGAACACAGCACTGGGAAGTATAGAGAGAATAAGGCCATTCACCATTAGCAGCAAAGCCCAATGGAAACCCTAAGGGGATTCCCCAGTCTTCCCCATCTCAATCAAGGACCGCTTCATTGACTGCTTCTGTCTTTCCCATCCCATATCTGATCCACCAGCAAAACCAGACAGCTCTGCCCTTAAAATAGGTTCAGAATTTAACCACTTCTAACAATCTGCACTATACCATGCCAGTCCAAGCCATGAGGTGGACATGAGGGACTTACGAAAAGGGGCCTGAAACAACATTGTGGAGGCATAGGGGTGATGCGTGGGGTGGAACCAGAGAATTATTCTGGGGAGAAGAAGATCATGAGAAAAAGGAGACTACAGGGTTGTTCAGAGAAATTGCAGGAGACACAATTGTCTGCTG